AACCAAAAAAAAAAAAAAAAAAAAAAGATAAAGTTAAAAAAAAAGTTAAAAGGTAGGCTCTGCAACTGGCTCAGGCATTCAGGAGAATGTTAAAACCATTTTAAGGGGTGTTTTTAGCAAACGAGGCACTGTAGCCTCCTGAGTCTGAAGGGTCAGGGCTCTTCTAAAAACTAGTATTTGTATGACTAAAAAAAAAAAAAAAAAAGGAGAACCAGGGTAAGAAAGGAATTTCCTCAGTCTCCAAACCCTTCCAAGGTTTCTCTATTCCAGATTCAACTAAACATTTACTCTGAAAAATGTCATTGATGAGTGAAGTCTGTTAAATCTCCCCCACACGCAAAACACCTTCAATGATATCCAATACATAACCCAAAAACTAAAAACCTGTTTTTTTAATCAACTATGGTATCCATGAAACTCCGTGTCCGTGCAATTTCAAAGAGATTTATATTTTTCCCTCCTTGAAATAATTTCAGAAACATACCCAGGAAGGTCCCCATACCATGCAGACACCACAGCCTCATCTTATTCCAGTTCATGGCCTTTCATGAGTCTGAGGTAAGCTTATCATCCTGCATGGACACGGAAGAGTTTAGTTTTGTAGCCTACAGATGAGACACAGGCATTTGGACCTGAGAGACCTCCAGCCCTCTCCAATGAGATTCAAGTTAAATCCCTTTTTTTGGGTAGGAATTCAAAGTTTACCGTATTTCTGACCTCCAGAGGTGGATGGACTAAGAAAGATAGGAGAGGGGGTTTTGGCTTGGCTGTGACACTGTAACCCTAGCATCCTTGTGGCCTGCTGAGGACCAGGATAGACAGAGCAGCAGGCAAGACCCTAACTGACTTAAAACCAAGAAAGGGGGGACAAAGAGGATCCAGATACTTTGACATCTCAGTATTAATGAGAAACAAAACTGTATGGTTTAAAAAACCATTTTGAACAGATTATGTAATTCACATAAAAATACTGAAACTACGCAGTATTTAACACACTAAAAGCAGCTTCAATCCTGAGACTGCAAAGGAAAAAAAAAGCAGCAATGAAGAACACAGGCATGATGCTCACTCTAAGATGGGAGACAGGAACTCACAACCAATCATTTTAGGCAGCAAATTGCCTTGTTCAAAGTGGAAGGCCTGAGCTGGACAGTCCCAGGAAGACTCACTCCATACTCTGAGTTAAATTGGTTTGTAATTCTGGTTATTTCCAGAACCCAGTTCCAGTCTGGATAAGCTCCATGAGGATCTGCATCTAACTTCAATCCTAAATTTCAAAGTTCATTTTCTGCACAATCCCAGCCAGCCCTCCCCTATGCCCAACACCATTAATAATGCTGTTATCATACCGTTTCCCTGGGGTCATGATGGCAACCTCCCCGTCCCCAGCAGGTCCCTGGGAGTTCCACCACTCTGACCAAGTTTGCTGCCCAGCTCTGGGGCACAGATTTCCTTCCCAGTGTGGCTTCTAAAGGAAGCAAAGGGCTCACATCCTAGTCACTGGTAGGCTGTGGTAGCAGCCAGCCCAGCAGCACACCTCAGAAAAACAGCAGATTCAAGAATGTGTGGCCAAGGGGACCTGTTCCTAGATCAGAAGCCTCTACCTCTTCCCTGAGGGCACACAGTGCCTCTGGGAACTAACTAACTGGCTCTCCAGGCTCAGAACTGCCCAAGCAAGCAGGTCTCCCCCTTTGCTGGAAAACCCAAATGCTTTTTCTTTCATTTTCTTTTAGTTTTTTGAGACAAGGTCTCACTTTGTAGCCCAGGCTTGCCTTGCACTCATAGCCATGCCCCTGCCTCATGCTGGAATTGCAGGTGTAACATAACCCATGGCTGGGTTCCTTTTCAATTCTTGTAATTTAATTAAACCAAAACTTCAGACAGCCGGGCGTTGGTGGCGCACAGCTTTAATCCCAGCACTCGGGAGGCAGAGGCAGGTGGGATCTCTATGAGTTCAAGGCCAGCCTGGCCTACAGAGTGAGTTCCAGGACAGCCTGTCTCGAGACAGAGAAACCCTGTCTCGAAAAACCAAAAAATAAAAACAAAACAAAAAAAAAACTGTTCAGACATCTTGCCTCAGTTTCCAAATTCAGGGTTGGGGTAATACCTAATGCCATCTCCCTGGGGAAGTTGCGTGGTCCCCAGCCCACCCGCCCGCCCCCACCACCACCAAAAGTCGGGTGATGAACAAGGCATTCCAGCCACATCACCATCAGTCCCCAGAAGAGACCCCAAATTATTGACAGAATTAACCTGACACCGATGCGTATTTTAAAAACAGGGTGGCATTCAAGCACGGAGGATGTCTGTGTACCAAAGTCAAGGCAGGGGTCCATCTATCACCCCCTCAAAAGTGAGGACAGCAGCCCATCCCCCCCCAAAGGAGCCCGGTCCTCTTCCCAGCCAGAGGCAAAGACTTTTCAGAGGACTGACTTCCTGAGACCCTTGGAGACCACTTCCCTCAGGAGGCAAAAGGAAGGTTTGGGGTCTGTCACCCTCACACCCAGTAAGAAGGAATAAGCGTCTAACCATTTCCAAACTTCTTGCTTTAACGGGAAATCGGGAAGCAGAATCTTGTTGAAGACTCGGCAAACCTGTTCCCTTCAGCAGACTCCCATCTCCCTGCGTCCTGACCACGCGTGTAAAAAGAGACCTGGGTGGGACCGGAGGAGGGAAAAGCCTCACTCAAGTACACTCTCCCACTCGGTCCAAACGGTTTGATCATTTACAGTGAATAAACCCAACAGCAAATTAATGAAGTCATGTCATCTGAAGGGAAATGGATGGAAACGAGGACCGTCCCCCTCAGTAGGAAAAAACCCGACTTTTCCTAAATGTGGGCTGTGCGGGGATAAGGGGCTTGGAAGGTGGGAACAGAGACACTTGGGAGGCAGAGGTGGGTGGAATCTTCCAGTTCGAGGCCAGCCTGGTCTACAGAGTGAGTTCCAGGACAGCCAGGGCTACAGAGAAACCTTGTGTCAAAAACAAAACACGGGACCGGAGATTAGACCAGAAAGGAAAAACACATGCTGCGCACTTATGACACAAAAGCAGAAAAAACTAAGCAAGGGAGCTGGCAATTAAGGAGGCAGCTAGGAAAACACCCCAACGCCATCAAGAGACTCATTATTTTGTCAGCTTTCTCAAAAACGTTTTGGTTTTTTTCGTTTTGTTTTAAGTGAAGCCAGTCAAGGTGACTCACTCAAATCTGTAATATCACCATTTGGGAAGCTGAGGCAGGAGGATAGCTGGGTGGGAGACCAACCTGGGTTACACAGTTCCAGGCCAGCCTAGGCTTAAGGAAAAGACCCTATCTCAAAATAAACACACAGGGAGTTACAATTAACCTATCAATCAGTCAGCGCCAGATGTCTACAGGGTTAGTTCAAATGGAACATCTGACTAAAAATTAGTAAGGAGATAGATATTTCAACTCTTTCCCTCCGTGGAGGGAAACAAACCCGGATTCAGGGGGCTCTCTTCCCGGCCTTGTGCTCGAATTTGATCCTAATCTGCCAGTGAAAACACTGAAGAACATACTAGAAACACCAAATCGTGAATTCGAGAAAACAGGAGTCAACCAGGGCTGAAAACCGATGTGAACCACCGACTTCACTTCGGAAGAATCCTTTTAAAAAGGTAACTTCCTCGCACTAGAATTACAATTTTTTCCAACGTAAGGCTCCTCCCCAAATAACGTCAAAAAGCGGACCCGCTGCGGCGGTGCGGGATTGCGAAAGCCTCGTTTGTCCCCTGCCCTGCTCCCAGCGACAGGAATAGCAATCACGGCCATCGCTGCACGGGTCTCATAGTTACAGGTAGACCTAGAGGAGGCTAACCCAGCCCATCTAAGGTGGTCCAAGCCTCTACTAGCTTCCAGTGGATGGAATATTAATGTTAACAGGTGGTGATGGTCCGGTATCAAAGTGGAAAAAGAAAAAAAATCAAGAGCCCAAAAGGATAATAGTCAGGTCCGAGGGCAGCACCACAGCCCTCGGATTCCGCACACCCCCAGGTTCGAGCTGCGGGCGACGGAGTGCCTGTGGATGGGCAGGGTCCCCGCCGGCTGGAAGAAGGGGCCAGGCTAGGGAAGAGCGCCAGGGACCCAACTGCGGTGGTCCCAATCTGGCTCCTAGCTCTCTCTCAGGGGCCCCCACGAGGCCACATGGTCATTGCACGTGGATACTCAGCAACCCGAGCAGGCTTTACACTTCGTATGATAAACAACCGCAGAAGCAAAATTAGGGACTCGACACCGGGGCTCCTTAGTTCTAAAAAAAGCCACAGGCTTTCTACCAACAACCACACAGACAACCTGGCGAATGCCAACCCGTGCAAGTACCGGATCCAAGTCCTCCGGGCCAGCATACACGTGAGAAGCAAGTCCGCACCCCAAGCGTCCCTTCCAACCCCGGAGAGCCCCCTCCGCACGTTGGGCGGCCTCTGGCGGACCCACACAAAAGGAGCCCCCGACTCCACAAACACGCTTATCTCCTACAAACTCGTGCCCAACTGCACACACCAACTACACCTACTATCAGACGGGAGAAAATATACACATATATTAACGAAGCTGGGCTGGCGAGACGGCTTACTGGTCAAGAGGCACTTGCCTCAATAAAACCTGAAAGATCCGACTTCGATCCCCGGGTCCCACACGATTAACGGGGAAGAGAACAGATTCCTGAGAGTTGTCCTCTGACCTCCACAAACGAGTGCAGATAAATGTAAAAATTAAGTAAGAAAAAGTGGAATCCAGGGGCTGGGGGTCTATTCCATGGGCAGACTTGTCTAGCCAAAGGACCTGGGTTCGATCAGCATAAAAACAAAGACACCCCCCAAAAAAGGAGAGAGAAACTAATGTCTGGGGGCTCCACGGACATGCCCAGAGAAGGAAAGATGTCTCCAGGTCGCGGTTCTGAGGAACGTTGGGAGGGAGGGGGACGACCCAAGGCTGCAAAAGGGTCCCCTGTCGTCGCCCGCGCCCCACGCGCACTCACCTCTTCGTCGTGGTGCTGGCAGAAGCCGAGCCGCTCTGGGAACACGGAAAGGATGGAGAAGGGCGCGCCGGCGAAGGGCGGCCCGAGCCCGAGCTGCTGTGCCGCGGAGGCGGCCGAGGGCCCCGGCGGGCCGCGCTCGATGTAATGGTCCTTCGTGAGGCGCACGCGCTGGTGCGCGCGGACACAGTTGTCGCACAGGTGTTCCTGGCAGTCGAGGCACCGCGACGAGGCGGCGTTGCCCTCGTCGCACGAGCTGCAGCCGTGCTGCCGACGCAGCAGGAGCGAGGCTGGGGAGGCGGCCGGGCCGGGCGGCGGCTGCGGGGCTGGAGCGGCGGAGCGCTGGGGCGGGTGGTGCGCGTGGTGCCGGTGGTTGCTGTGACCGCCCGCGCCCCCGGGGCCGCCGCCCGCGCGCCCGTTCTTGGGCGGCGGCTCGTCGGCGGTAGCCACCACGGCGTCCAGCAGGTTGCTGAGCAGAAACGCGGACGACGGCAGCGCGTCCATGCCCGCCGCCTCGGCCAGGACCACTTTCTGGTCGCACACCGGACAGCGCAGCTTGAGCGCCTCGGTGGGGCCGGCGCCGCCGGGAGCGGGCAGCCGGTGCGCCTCGAGGCACGGCCGGCAGAAGGCGTGCAGGCAGGGCAGGACGTGCAGGCGCCGCGCCGCCGCCCCGGGGCCGCCGCCTCCCGCGGACGACGTGGACGTCTGCGACGACGACGACGAGGCGGACGAGCTGGAGGAGAGCGGCGCGGGCGAGCCACACATCTCCTTGCACAGCAGGCAGATCTGGAAGTCGGTCTCGGGGAACGAAGCCATTTGCAGGCGGGCCGGAGGGAAGAGGGCGTGCGGCGAGGAGGAGGGCGCGCGGCTCACTCAGCAGAGCGCATCGAGGGCGCGGTGGAGGCGACCCCCGGGCCAGCTCGGCACGGCGGGCATGCACCGCCGCTCGGTAGCAAGCGAGCGCCCGCCCCAAGTCCCAAAGTCCGCCGTGGAATCCAGTCCCCGCGGCAAAAAAAAAAAAAAGGGTCCGGACGAGTCTTGCGCGTGTTACTTTTTCCCTTTTGCCCCGGGCTAAACGGATTGAGTCTCCTGGAGGGAGGGGAAAACGCCCCGGAGTCGCAGCAGCTCGAGTCCCCGCGCGCGACGCCGGCCACCCCGCCGCATGACGCGGCGGCAGGAGCTCCTGCGTGGCGGCCGAGGCGCAGCCTCCCCCGCGGCGCGGTCGGCTCGAGCGCGCAGCTGCACCTCGTGCGGGGGCCCCCGGCCCGCCCGCGGAAGCACGCGTGCCAAGTACGCACGCGCGCTCCACGCACTCCGCGCCTCTGCGCAGCCCGGCCGGGCCGCGGTCTCTGTGCGCTCACACGCACGCGCGCCCCACGCGGCCCGGCGCCCGCGTGTCCCCGGGCCTCCTGGCTCTCTCTAGCGCGCGCTCCGACCCTTCTCCGGCCTCAGGCGCTCCGCGGCGCGGGGACGCAGGTCCCCGCGGGCCGCCCTGAATTATTCATCGGCGGGAAGATATTGGATGTACCCGCTGCCCGCTCCGCGCGGGGCCGTCGTGCAATGCTATCCGCGTTCCGCGCGCGCCGCGCGCCCCTCCTCCTCAAGGCCGTCCTCTCCGAAACCTGGGCAGCGGAGGGGGATCACATTTCCTTTGTCATCGGGCCATTTCACTCTCGCTCGGGTCCCCCCTGCAATCCCGGAGCCTCGGAGACCGAGCCTCCCTCCCGGGCGTGCTGGAATCAGAGGAGCCGGCGAGGGACCCGCGCGGCCACTTCAGGAGCCGCGTGGCCAACGCCGCCCGCGGCTCCCGCCTGCGTCATCCTCCTGCAAACGAGTCGCCGAAAGGGGACGCGGGTGGCCCCGGCTGTGCTGCGCCTACCGGGCTCTGGCTTTCCCGGTGCCCTGAACTCCTGGATTGCTTTGGGGTTTTATTTTTGCACGACTCCCCTGAATGGGGGGGGGGTCAGCGTGCGCGCGCCTGTTCCCTTCTTTCTCCGCTTTGCCGCCTCTCGGAACGCCGGTTATTGGGACTGATCGGAATTCGGAATCCTTTTAATCTCCAAAGGAGCAAACTCACTTCCGCCCGAGTGCTGGGAGGGGTGGGGGAGGGGAGGCCGGGGAGGGGGTTCCAGGCAAACAGGAAACATTAGCCCTCTTGGCCCGGCCCGCTTTTGTGTGCGCCTCCCCTCCTCCCACTACCCTCCTCCCCCGCTCCGACCGCGGGGGAGACGATCGCCCCCAGGCTTCAGTGTGACGACCTTTGGAACCTCCCGGGCGAGTAGCGCAGAGCGACTCTTCCGTTTATTTAAAAAAAAAGGGGGGGGGAAAGAAAAAAAGACTTCATTCGGAATCCCTGCCTCTTGGAGGCTGATGGCCCCTGCCCGGGAGAGCTAGGGTCCCCCCTGCCCAGATCCCCCCTTTTCTCTTTCCTTCCCTTTGCGTTTCTCTAGGACTCTGCAGAGCTGAGACCGACCTCGAAGCATCGCGGTTGTGTAGTTGGATGTCTGGAAATAAACGAATCTGAATTGTGATCGTCCGAGGGGCCGGTTACTCGGTTTTAATGGGAACCCGGGCAGCTGTTAAAAGGAGGTGACCCATTGACCGCCCCTAGGCCATCTGGGTGGTGCCCCGGGCAGTTCCAGGAGAGGAACTCTTTAAGGCTCTCCTGAAGAATGACTTGGAAAGGCTGCTTTCAAACTTTTAAAAAATGTCATTTAAGATGGGTGTGGTGGTGTACCCACTATAATTCAGCAGGAGCTGAGGCAGGAGAGTGTGCCTGAACCACACTGAGACCCTAGGTCAGATTAACGAGTGAGTAAAATAACGTAAGCAAATGCCATCTACGGTGTGTACAAAATTTCACTGTAGATTATGCCCCGGTGGAAAAAGAGAGAAGATGGCCCTGGAGCCGCGGAAGTTCAAGGCCTGGGCCACATGAGACCTCTCAAGAAAGGGACGAGAAGAACTGGAGAGATGAGGATGTTTCTGCAGTCTTTCAAGAGGACGGTCCTTGGGTGGCTCAGAGCTGCCTGTAACTCCAGCTGCAGGGAATAGACTTCTTGCTGCCCTCAGGCACCTGGATCCGTGGGGGCGTAGACACACATAATTAAAAAAGAAAGAGACTAGAGGAGAATTTAGCCTCCAATCTGAATAACCATGCCTGGGTCATAATGATAAGAATGGGACCCAATTCTAGATGCTGGCCTCTCCATCCATGAAAAAACAAGGAAGATCATTCTGGAATCATGAATCAATTCAATGCCCCTGGGGCGAGAGCGTCCCAGGCCCACAAGAGCCCTGCAGCATTAGGAAGACAGGACCTGTTTCCAAAGCGCGGGTTCTCACCGTTGAAACAACAGAAGACCTGTGACCATCTACTTCTGGGATGTAGAAGTGAGAAAATTGGGAGTGCCCTAAAACTGAGCAGAGCTACACTAAACAAAGATGGGACACTGAGGACCAACCTGGAGCACCTCTTGTTTCTGTTTGCAATAAAATTGCTAGGGAAGGCTCAAAAATAACATTCTTGTAAATGACCATCAGCACAGAAGATGCTCTGCAGGGTAAAGGTGCTTGCTACTAAACCTGAAAAACTGACTTCTTCTATCCCTGGGACCCACGTGGTGGAAGGAGAGAAGGAAATCACCACAGGAGTTATCCTCTGTGGTGGCAAGAGTACAACACACACTTACAAATCGATGCAAAACGTGATGCAGATGTATTTAAGGATTTATTGCTGTACATGTGTGTGTACAGGTGTGCATAGACACCAGAAGGGGGCATCCGGCATCTGATACCTTGAAATTGTCCCTCCAGGCATTTTTCAAGCTGCTGGTGTGGGTGCTGGGGACTGAACTCCAGTCCTCTGATAGAGAATACTCACTCCTGACTGCTCAGGCTTCTCTATAGCTCCTGAATATGTTTCAGTGAAAATTAGGGGCAGGCCGGGAGGTAGGGGCACTACACTTGTAATCTCACCGCTGACAGGTTAAGGCAGGAGTATTGCTGTTTGTAGCCAGCCTTGGCTACATATTGAGATCCTATCTCAAAAGACACAGCAATAAAATTAGGGGCTAACACATGGTGTGTCACAGTCTAAAATGTCAGGATTTGGGAGGCTGAGGTAGCAAAATTGAAAGGCTTAGGCCAGCCTGAGCTACATAGTGGTACTCTTGTTTAAAAATAAATAAATAAAGGCAGGCACTCAGGAGGCAGAGGCAAGTGTGTTTGAGGGCAACCTGATCTAAAAACTGAGTTCTAGGCTAGCCATGGCTACAGTTCTTGAGCCTTGTCTCAAGAAAAAAAATAGATTAATAAAAAAAACGATAAAAATAAGGTTTGGAGCGTTCCTGTGTCATCTTTTCATTTTTCTTCATACTAGCCTCAATAATCACATCTCGGGCTGGAGAGGTGGCTCAGAGGTTAAGAGCACTGCCTGATCTTCCAGAGGTTCCGAGTTCAATTCCCAGCAACCACATGGTGGCTCACAACCATCTGTAATGAGATCTGGTGCCCTCTTCTGTCCTGCAGGCAAACATGCAGACATAACACTATATATATATATATATATGTATATATATGTATGTGTGTGTATATTAATATATATATAATATTTTTAAAAGATCATATCTCAGCCTCCCAAGTATATAAGACTTTGATCAGCAAGCCTGTTGACAGTTCAGGATTCCTCCATTGTAATTTTAAGAGGTAGGGGCTGGAGAGGTGATCCAGCAGTTAAAAACAATCTCTGTGCTTCCAGATGGCCTGGGTTCAGTTCCCAGCACCCATATGGCTGCTCACACCCTCAGTAACCCCAGTTCCAGGAGGTTCCACTCCCTCTTCTGGCACTAGGCACATGCATGATGCATATACACACTAATAAATCCTGAAAATATAAGGGTTTTTTTTTGACCAGGTGTAGTATCACAAACTTTTAAACCAAACACTCAGAAGGTAGAGGCAGGCAGATCTCTGTGAATTCAAAGCCAGCTTTGTATACATGTAGAATTCTAAACTGGTCGGGGCTGTCTCAAAAAAAATTAATATGCAGCCGGGCAGTGGTGGCGCACGCCTTTAATCCCAGCACTCGGCAGCCAGAGGCAGGTGGATCTCTGTGAGTTTGAGGCCAGCCTGGTCTATGGAGTGAGTTCCTGGACAGCCAGAGCTGTTACACAGAGAAACCCTGTCAACAAGAAAACAAAACAAATAAATGTACTTTACTGTAGAATCAGCTCTCCACTTCCAGTTTTGTTGTTGTTATGGAGATGGGGAATCCCAGGTGGCCTTTCTTTTTTTTTTTTTTTTTTTTTTTTTTTTTTTGGTTTTTCGAGACAAGGTTTCTCTGTGGCTTTGGAGCTTGTCCTGGAACTCACTCTGTAGGCCAGGCTGGCCTCGAACTCACAGAGATCCGCCTGCCTCTGCCTCCCGAGTGCCCAGGTGGCCTTTCTGATGTCAAACTTGCTATGTCCTTAAGGATAGCCCTGGGATTTCTAGTGCTCTTGTCTCTTCCTCCCAAGTGACTGCATTTTGAGCACGTGCCACCAGGCTGGATTTAGCTTTATTGGGTATCGCCCTGCTTTCAATGCCAGCAATCCAATGGCTGAGCTACATCGTAGGCTTCTGGTTGGTTATAGAAGAACAAGTAGGTTATTTTCTTAAAAAGCAAACAGCCAGAGAAACCCTGTCTCAAAAAACCAAAAAAAAAAAAAAGCAAACAGCCTTTAATTCCAGCATTTAGGAGGCAGAAGCAGGTGGATCTCTGTGAGCTTGAGGCCAGAGTGAGGTCCAGGACAGGCTCCAAAGCTACACAGAGAAACCCTGTCTCAAACAAC